ATCAGAAATCAAAGAATCATAGAAATGTATGGCTAGAAGGGACCTTTAGAGGTCCTCTAGTTCAGCCCCCAACACTGAGGCAGGATCAAGTAAACGTAGACTATCCCTGACCGATGCTTGTGTAACCTGTTCTTTAAAATCTCTAATGATGGGGATTCCACAACCTCCCTTGGAAGCCTATTCCAGTACTTAACTGTCCTTGTAGTTAGAAAGTTTTTCCTAATATGTAACCTAAGTCTCCCTTGCTGAAGATTTAGCAGGTTACTTCTTGTCCTACCTCCACTGGACCTGGAGAACAAGTGATCACCGTCCGTTTTATAACAGCCCTTCACATATTTGAAAACAGTTATCAAGTTTCCCCTCAGTCTTCTTTTTTCAAGACTAAAAACACGCAGTTTTTTTAACCATTCCTCATAGATCAGGTTTTCTAAACCTTTATCATATTTGTTGTTCTCCTCTGGATTCCCTCCAGTTTATCCTCATCTTTCTTAAAGTATGACGTTCCACACTGGACACAGTACTCCAGCTGAGACTTCACCTGGACCAAGTTGAGTGGGACAGTTACCTCCTGTGTTTTACATACAACACTGTCTTTATACAGCCCAGAATGATATTAGCCTTTTTCGCAACTGCATCACATTGGTGACTCATATTAAATTTGTGATCCACTGTAAATCCCAGATTCTTTTCACCAATACTACCACCTAGCCAGCTATTTCCCATTGTGTATTTTTGCATTTGATTTTTCCTTCCTAAGTGTATTTTTTGCACTTGTCTGTATTGAATTTCATCTTGTTAATTTCAGACTAATTCTCCAATTTGTCAGGGTCCTTGTGAATTCTAATCCTGTCCTCCAAAGTCCTTGCAAACCTCCCAGCCTGGTGCCATCCTCAGTTTTTATAATCATACTCTTCACTTCATTATCCAAGTCATGAATTAAAATGTGGACTATTACTAGACCCAGAACAGTCCCCTGCAAGACCCCACTAGATATGTCCTTCCAGTTCGACAGTGAACCATTGGTAACTACTATTGATAATACTCTTCGAGTAGGTTAAATCATGTTAAAATATGTTGAATCATGAAGCTGAGGTTATAGACAAATGGGGTTGAATCAAAGACATTCAGAATTCTAAGACATGCTAAGACATCCAGAATTCTAAGCTAGATTCAAATTTTGTAACTTGTCCCAATGTTTATAATAAGCTGAATCAGGATTCTCAGATCTGAACACCTCCAGAGTATCGTGTTTGAAATTCAGATCAGAATATAGCAGTTCCAGCTCATGTTTTCTTGTTAATGCTAAATAAACTAATCCCATATCATTTAAAGCTTCTTGTACTATTCTTTGCTTCATGTCCCTCATTTTAGATCTTTGACCCTCATTGTGGCTGACATTTGGGCCTCAGCAGAATTGAGAGGTATCAGGGGAATGGAAGCCTCATAAATGTCAACATGCTGTCTGCTGCTCTCAAGGGCACAGTAAGTAGACAGAGAGAGTTTAAACCGGAACATTGCTAGAATGGCTCATTTTAGGCCTCCTTTCTAGTATAAATGTACTAAGTTACTTGACTAAGTAAATCTACCTCACTTGATTTATGTTCAGCAGCCACAGCAAGCAATTCTTAGTTTTCAGGTGATTGTGTTAAATCTTCTATAGTGTCTGCATGACTCAAACTCACAATAGGACTTGGATACAGTTACAAAGAGCGATGCTGTTTGAATACAAATTGGAGAACGAATTCCACTCTTTCACCATTTGAGCCAAGGGAAGCCCCAGGTGGCATTTGGGTAATAGGTTTGTTACTGCAAGGTTCAATGTGACTGTTGTTAGTAGAGCTTCTGTTCTTTAGCCTGGCAATGCATTTTATTAAATTTCCTGCATGCCTCTCATTTGCATGATTCAGTTTGGCACAGCTTGTCTCGCTCTCTGGTTTAGAACAATGCCAGGTTGGCTTGTGTTTTGTCCTTAAGATAGCAAGTTCCTTTGCCTTGCTTTTGTATTCATCACCCATTTTCTGTTGTATTGTTTTCTAAAGAAGGTTCAAATGCTCTGCTCCAAACAGTGGCCATGTCTTATTCTTACATTATTATCTGTAGCAATTTGATTGTTGCCATGCAAGTAAAACTCTGAATGGGTGGATTTAATTGCCTTAGGGTTATGATAGTTTTAGCAGCTGGGAGAGAATCTGTCAGCTTCATGACTTGTTCTAGCACTGAACAGTCAGTGCAGCAAAGATTCCTGTGTTTGTGATCTTATTGTAAGTCTCTCCCTTTCATTTGCAGAGCAGACATACTTCAAGCTTAGCAGAATTTACATTTTGGATACAATTAGATTTCCTCTCCATAGACACTACTTTAAACCATGCTGTAGGCTTTTATTTTGATGTTGTGCAGAATTTTAACAAGCTTAATCGATCAGCCACGGCTGTGAATTTGAATATATTTAATGTATTCTCCTCCTCCCCCTAATTAAAAGTGAATTTAATGCTCATGAAAGGTTCCAAAGTCCTCTTGGCACAAAACAAGTTAGGTAAAGCCAGCAGCCGTGCAGGCTTTCCCATAACAGTGTGCCCCAACTCAGACACAAGTAGGTAGCAATCCAGGATGGTAAGCAGTTCAGTCCCCATGCCCATTCAGTCCTTTGTCTCTCTGCTGGGAATGCCAGCAAGGATGCCAGTTAGTGCCAACTGTGAGAATTGTTTTTGTGTTCTGAACACTTGCCTAGCAAGATGTTTATGTGGACTGACACAAACAACCTGTTATACATTTACCACCATGCACTTGTGGCCTATAGGTCACTATTGATTGGCAGAACCGGACTGCTACTAAACTGAGCCAGCTTCAAACAAATGACCCAGAGGTAAAAAACCCTATGGGCCAGAGCCTTATCTGGTGTAAATCAGTGTAGTGTTGTGTCATTAATGAAGTTACACTGATTTACACCAGCAGAAAAATGTAAGTCGTTTCTGTACTGAATAATTTGCCTTTTTTAAGGCCCTGTGGCGTCCAGCCCTTTAGGAGGCATTGTGGAGACACATCAAGCCCAGCACTGTGCCTGGAGAGCAGGGACAGCTTTTGGACTCCTCATTGTAGTTGGAGGTCCAAATATCCATGCAGCAAAACATCCACTAATGTGCAACTGGCCAAAAGAGTCTGCTTCATCCTATCCAGCCCAGAATCACCCACAATGAGCCACGCATTCCTGAACTCCAGGCTTGATTATTTCCAATCATTATATCTAGGAATGAAGCTACATACCCGGGAAAACCTTCTTGGTACTAAACACCTGTCTGCTTAGCAACACAAGTCCACATGAACACACCCTCCATAGAACTCTGGGTGTCTGCATTGGCTCTCTGCAGAGTCCAGAGTACAGTTCAAGGTCTCTGGCCAGCTAGTCAAAGTCCTTCAAGGGACTGGTCCTAGCTACCTGAGAAGAGATCACTTCTCCCTTCGTGACCATGAGCTTCCACAACAACTGTGTTCCACTCAAACTATGAAACTCTTGGATCACTAGGGAGAGAGTCATGAATAGGGGAGACAGAACTGCCCCAGGAGCTGGCTTGGCCTATGGAACCCACTCCCACAAGAGATAGAATGAGACCAGAAATAATCCCTTTTAGAACTAAATGCAACACTCATTTCTGCAACTATTAAATATACCATTACACAGCAGTAATTATGAAATTAGAACCCAAAGAAGTGAAATTCAAAGAAAATATTGCAGAGTAATCTACACCAGTCACAAATTATGAGCCTCCCACCCCCGTGCCGGTTCAGATGCAATGATGGGTGAGTTGGAGGAGTGGAGTCAAGATGCTACTGATTTCCTCCCTTTCCCCCCCACCGTTACCTGCTGGTGAGGTAGGGAGACGGAGTAAATGGATGTGCTGCACATGCTTGCTTTTGAATACCTGGACCCATGATACAGGTATCCCAAGTCCCAGTCTAGCCATTAATGTGTTACTATTTCTGATAATGTTTTAGAATTGTCCTTACTCTTCCATTTTACTGTTTTGTTCAATCTTCTGTGCTCGAGAGAAATCACCTCTCCTCAGTTTGTGAATCTATAAGTGGCCTGGAAGGACTTCTTCACATAGAGACTGAGGCCTTGATTAGGGAATCTGCATTGATCCCAATGCACACAGGGCCATGCTTATTGAGAGGAATGCTTATTGAGAGTGAGCCTTAGTGCAGGTTTCTTTGCAGCATCTGTAAAACCAGGAGGGGCATTAATCTCCTTACTGTCTGCTCAATATCTTGTGGTTAAAGTATCAGCAATACTTCACTGGATAAATGGCAGATAATGCAGTTTACTGTACAATAGGCTTACTGTTGGTGTTGTTACATGGTTCAAGCAGGTGACACAAAGTGATACATTCTCTGTGTAAGTTTGGTATGCCAGAGAGATGAACTAATCATGGCAGGGACCATCTTTTTTTTTTTTTTTCCTTTTCTTCCTGTGTTTGTACAGTGCCAAGTACAGGGAGGTCCTGATCTATGATTGGGGTCCTAGATGAGACTACAAAGCAAATAATAACAGTAATAATAACACACACCGTGAAGAGTCTTTTCACGCTTTAGGATACAGGGCCAGTTACACCTTTTTTCTGACTTCAATGGAATTATCTCAGATTTACAACAGTGCAAATTAGATCAGAATCTGGCTTACAACACTAGAGAAAATATATTCCATATGGACAGCCTGCACTCAGAGTAACTGGTGGCAAAGAGGAGCTAAGCTGTTTAAAACAGTGTTATAAATTGGTTTCCCCCACCCCCATCCTGCAAACAATTGCACTTTTATTCTTCTTTTAACTCTCCTGAGCTGACCAACTGGAAAAGCTTCTTGCAGCGCGGGAGGAGGTTCTTTCATTCAAACATTTTACTGCCACGGGGACTCCAATAAATGACTGGCTGCCCTATATAAACCAGCCTCCTACAAAAGCCTATCTACCAAGGGCAAGAACTTGGGGTGTTGTCACTTATCAAGCAGTTCCACAGAGCAGAAAAGCATCCTGTTTGGCAATACAGTTTCCTATGCTGCAGGTGCTAAATTGGCAGTGAGACTTGCTGCAATTGGCTTTTCTCTAATCAGCAGAGCTCTGAAGACTCACCAGTTATTTGGGGGATTCTTTTTTCAAGAGCACATATACTCTTCCCAGGTAATGATTTATTGCTATTTCTATTTCAGTAGCATGCTTTCTTAGACCCTATTCCTGCAAAAAACTCCTAGGACTAGCCTGTACAACTGTAAGTGTTAGCAGGATCGGGCTCCTGATGAATAGGTGCCAAACCAAGCTGTCCTTGGCTGCTGGCATTTCATTCCTGTTACGTATCTTCTCAGAAGCTGATTATTTTGCAATACTGTATTTATCAGTTACATTAGATGGCAGCGTCTGTGTCATTTTAGCCTCGCTGACAGAGCCTCATGGGAAACAAGGTGAGCCAAAATCTCTGTGGGAGCAGCTCTACTGACTTTAATAGAATTTTGCCCATCAGCAGATAATTTGCCCCAGTATCTCTTTCCCAACTACATTGACTGGCCCTCCTTAAAGATCTTAATATAATAAATAAGCTAAGCGACCTTTCCATTGGGAAATACATTGTGTAATTGTTTAGTGAAACCCAGGTGGATGATATGTGTTTAAGAGACATAAACAAAGGTACCTCTTTGACTGCATGAAAGCTAGAACAGCATTAAGCAGCCAGAATGGCTTTAGAGATTGTCTACGCAGAGGTGTGTAAAGCCAGTATTTCACTTGTATTTTAGTGTTTTGGATCATAACCTTCTGGATTTATGGTGCCACATATTAAAGTGCTGCATCCACCAAAATCAATAGGAGTGTTGCTGTGTCAAACGGGTGCAATATCATACTTTTAATGCTTTAGGACTAATACTTTAGAAACATTTATTCAGCCCATATTTTTAGACACAATTGCCTCCGTTCTGACACTCACATATGAGACATCTGCTGCTGGGGAACTGGATGGCTCAGGGGATTGGTCCTAATAAGAGAGGAGTCTTTTGTGTCTAAGTTACTGGTTCAAACCCAGGCAAGGTTGGCAGTGACTGAAAGTCATTACCATTTGACAGCTGTTATGTGGCAATATGAAATGAGTTGGTGTCCTCAGTCAGTTTCCTGGTGGACAGGTGTCAACATCATCACAATGAGAACCCCAATTAGCAATCTCATCCAAGAAGACAATGATTGAATAGTCTTGGAGGTAGATTAATTACTCTATCGCCCCTGTGAGAGAGGAAGTGTCTTTTCAGGTCAGGGTTGGGGCACACAGCCAGGGGAGAAACCTGTCCTGGCACTATCCATGCAATAACTGTTCTTAGGAAAAACAGAGGATTTCAGCCTCGAGGGCTGTCAAACCAGCACTTGTCACTAACTTCCTACAATCACTATTATTATTATTGTTATTTATTTTTACTGTGTTGGTGCCCAAAGACCCCAGCTCCATTGTTCTAAGCAAACTATAAAAAGACGGCCCCTGCCCACAAACAGTTTACAATATATGGTATAAGTCAGAAGAAGACAACAGGTAGATACAACAAACCGATGGAGAAAGCGCAGGTTAAAAATGAGCCCATTATGAATCTGCGCTCCAGCACACACCATTACAGATATTTGAAAATTAAACTAATAGGTTGATTTTCAAAATAGGTTAAATCCCTCAGGCCATACACACTTTTTTAACAAATTCAGCACTAAGGGCCTGATCCAAAGCCCCCTGGGGTCAATGGGAGTTTAGGCCCTAAGTATGGTGCTAATGTCATTTTCAGTTAAAAAGTAGCATATAGGAGTAAGACACTTCTATTACTCATAGCATTCTACATTCCAACCCAGATGTGTCTTAATTTCAATGGTGGGTGAAGTGATATTTATTATAGCTAGATAAGTGCTTTCAGATCCTTTGGAGGAATAGCACTATATAGATGAAATACATTATTATATAGCAGTAGCATTATTGCTAGATATAGGCCTGATCCTGGTAAGTGCTGATTGCTTGACACTTTCAAACCCTTACTTACAAAGCTTTTTAACTTTGAACTGTGAACCTGACATACAACACAGATAGTTAATGTACAAAAAGTTTGGACAACTAATGAAGCCATTAGTTTTCATTAGACTTTGCCTGTCCACATGTTACTTTAGTAGCATAATTCATCAAGTGAAATCCAGCTTTCACATCAGTCTTCTTCTGTCACCTAGCACATAACAGTGGTCATTCTTTTCTGAAGAATTGCTGAAAACAATGTCTCACAGGTGGCACACAGAGTTGATGGATGATATTTAAAAGCCTGCTGCCCTGAGCTGGATGAAAGCAATTTATGATATAAAGGTTGACATCAAATCTCACACACGGCTGTAGTGGGAATATCTCCTGTCTAATGCAAGACTAATGCTGAACTGCTCAAAGGCAACTTTTAAATCACCCTGTTCTGGAACATAAAGGGAGACATGTTGGCCATGCTACAGAAAGATCAAAGAGCAATGGAGACAGTGACCATTTATAGAACCTTTCTTTCATCCATTTAATGTGTGACTAACATCATAATTCTTATTCATAAGGAGTTGTTAAAGCTTAATCATCATAACATATGGTGACTAGCTCAGGCTAACAAGTTGGCAAAGGAAGTATCACTTTTATGGGAGGGAAATATGGGTTGAAAGTCTGTGAAATGAAAAGGACACAGGTTATTTTATGTTTTATGAGACTTGCAGCGCAGTCTTCTAGACTTTCTTGAACTCTACAAGATGCAAATCTTCTACTATTGTTGGAAAACAGCTTCCTAAACTAAAAGTTACTGGGTCACTCTCAGGTCAAACTTGGCCTCAAGTTCAGATTTTGTAAAAAATAACTTAATGTAAAACTTAAGATCAATAGAAAAGTTTCAAATTTTTGTTTATTAGTTAGTTTGTATTAAACTGCAGATCTCCACTGCAGATTTTTTTTAATTGCAAATTTTGTGAGAAAGTTAACAAGCACATGGATAAGGGTTGATCCAGAGAATATAGTATACTTAGATTTTCTTCAGAAAGCCTTTGATAAAGTCCCTTACCAATGACTCTTCAGGAAATGAAGTAACCATGTAATATAATCAGAACTATGTGATTTTGATTTACTTAAACACATAGAATTATAGAAACATAGAAATGTAGGACTGGAAGGGACCTTAGTAGGTGACCTAGTCCAGTCTCCTGCACTGAGGCAGGACTAGGTATTATCTAGACCATCTCTGACAGGTGTTTGTCTAACCTGTTATTAAAAACCTCCAATGATGGAGATTCCACAACCTCCCTAGGTAATTTGTTCCAGTGCTTAACTACCCTGACAGTTAGGAAGTTTTTCCTAATGTCCAACCTAAACTGCCTTTGCTGCAATTTAAACCCATTACTTCCTGTTCTGTCCTCAGTGGATAAGGAGAACAATTTATCACCATCCTCTTTATAATAAACTTTTACTTAAAAAGAAAAGGAGTACTTGTGGCACCTTAGAGACTAACCAATTTATTTGAGCATGAGCTTTCGTGAGCTACAGCTCACTTCATCATCCATGAAGTGAGCTGTAGCTCACGAAAGCTCATGCTCAAATAAATTGGTTAGTCTCTAAGGTGCCACAAGTACTCCTTTTCTTTTTGCGAATACAGACTAACACGGCTGTTACTCTGAAACCTTTTACTTAAAGACTGATATCATGTCCCCTTCAATCTTCTCTTCTCCAAACTAAACAAACCCAATTTTTCAATCTTTCCCCATAGGCCATGTTTTCTAGACCTTTAATCATTTTTGCTGATCTCCTCTGTACTTTCTCCAATTTGTCCACATCCTTCCTGAAATGTGGTGCCCAGAACTGGACATAGTACTCATAAGAACATAAGAATGGCCATACTGGGTCAGACCAAAGGTCTATCTAGCCCAGTATCCTGTTTTCTGACAGTGGCCAATGCCATGTGCTTCAGAGGGAATGAAAAGAATACACAATCATCAAGTGATCCATCTCCTTTCACCCATTCCCAGCTTCTGGCAAACAGAGGTTAGGAACACCATCCCGGCTAATAGCCACTGATGGACCTATCCTCCATGAATTTATCTAGTTCTTTTTTGAACACTATTATAGTCTTGGCCTTCACAACATCCTCTGGCAAAGAGTTCCATAGGTTGACTGTGCACTGTGTAAAGAAATACTTCCTTTTGTTTGTTTTAAACCTGCTGCCTATTAATTTCATTTGGTGACCCCTAGTTTTGCGTTATGAGAAGGAGTAAATAATACTTCCTTATTTAATTTCTTCACACCAGTCATGATTTTATGGACCTCTATCATATCGCTCCTTAGCTGTCTCTTTTCCAAGCTGAAAAGTCTAAGTCTTACTAATCTCTCCTCATATGGAAGCTGTTCCATACTCCTCATCATTTTTGTTGCCCTTTTCTGTAACTTTTCCAGTTCCAATATATCTTTTGAGATGGGGTGACCACATCTCCATGCAATATCCAAGATGTGGGCCTACCATAGATCTACAGAGGTAATATGATATTTTCTGTCTTATTATCTATCTTTTCCTAATGATTCCCAACGTTCTGTTTGCTTTTTTGACTGCCGCTGCACATTGAGTGGATGTTTTCAGAGAACTATCCACAATGACTCCAAGATCCCTTTCCTGAGTGGTAAAAGTTAATTTAGTTTATAATCCAGTTTATAATTCCTTATAAAGCATACTTATGTCTAACAACATAAGAACATAGATCTGAAGGGGACCTCTGAGTCATCAAGTCCAGTCCCCTGCTATGACAGGCAACCATGTCATATAATCCCTTTTGTATAAATATAAAACAATGTTGGTAATTGAGTAAATCAGATAAAAAATATTACACAGCTACACTATAAACACTATAATAAACAGTATATTTACAATTGAAATGATATGATATCTGAACTCAAATCTGGGCCCTGTTTCTTTTTGAAGGTCTCTGGATGTCCTCTGAGTTGGTAATAAGTTCTCATGGGATACATGCATTCATATTCTTAATCTATTCTGACTTTAAAGGTCCAGTTTCTTTTATCCAATGTCTCATTGCACAAGTTCTTGCTACTGAGAATGCACTCCCATCCATCTTCACTATGTCTGTTTAATATAACATCTTTTAAACTATTTAAAATGCAAACATATGAATTAAATAAACCAAACACAGCTAACAAAGCTTACATATGCTTGAAAACTTTTGACCAAAACATTGCAAGCTTTCTACATTTACAAGCCATGTATATAAAATCCCTAGGTCCCAACGCTTAACTGCATTAGGCCACTTCATGACACTGCACCTGAGCAAACAGTCCCAAAGCCAGTGTAACTGGTCTTTGGAGAATGACCCCGGTGTAGACAGATTCTCTGGTGGCATAGATCATAGGGGCATAATTGCAGGAAAGGAGGTGTGATTAGGGATGTCCTATGCCTCAGAAATCTCCAGCTGTCATAACAGACCCTTGGAGTCATTGGAGCCAGCATACATTAACTCAGCCCTCAGGCTGGCTCAAAATCAATGGAGTGAAAAACATTGTTTCATATTACCTGTGCTCTTCCTCTTCTCCTTACCTCCCAACCTGTAGCTATGTGCTCTTCAGCCACAGCCAAAGATCTAGGCCGTGTCTCTATTTTACATTCTGTGCACCACTTTGAAACAGAGCCATAGATCATAATCTTTTGTTTTGGAGTGATATATAATCTTTGCTTAAAATTAAATAATATCAGACCATTTTATGGTTACACATACAAATGTAATTCAATCGTCATTCTTCCTTGTATTCATCTGTATTTAATAGTGCATTCCATCTCTATTGATGTTTGAAAGTATCCCTCATGGCTACTCATCAAAAAACCTAGATATAATAAATTAGAAAGTCTTTTAGATCTTAGAGTTTCTTGGAATATTAATAATTCTACTTACCAAAATAATTAGTAGAGGCTTTATCAGTTTATTTCCCAAAACTGTACAAATAACATCTGAGTGATACAAATTGGCAGAAATGAATATATCAGCCAAAATTTCCAAACTTGGGTGCCCCAGTCAATATTTAGGCACTGAAATAAGTGGCTACATACTACACATGCATAGCTCCCATGGACTTTAAAAATATGATCCTTTTGGACATGGTTTTTTATTCTATCAATGTGCCTAAAATTTGGATAGTCTCTGATTTCAGATAGGTGAATTCACACATTGTTAGATTGTTCTGACAATTTGGGCCTTTTTTAATGTTTTGATTAATTTTATATGTGGTTGAGACTGTGGGATAAACACATTAGCCAGATGTTTCTGCTAAAGTAGAGAAATAGAAGTGATATTTTTCTCTTATTGTTGTTTTTATTTCAGATGGACAAGACAATTCAGATAAAATAAGAAACAACTCAAAAAGCAAAACAACAACAATGATGGTGATTTATCTGTCAGTGCTTAACAAATAATGTGCTCAGAGCTGTACAAGATACAAAATAGAAATCAGACCCTGCTTGGAAGAGCTTACAGTCTAAGAAAGACAGATACAGAGCAGACAGGATGTTCTAGGAAACCAAGAGGATGGAATCGCTCAGGTTCTTTTCAGTTTCTATGATTGATTCACTTCTTGGGAAAGGAAGTGGATCTTCAGAAGGGATTTGATTGGTTTATGCTAGCCTGCCTGATCTCATGCAAAGGGGTATGTTGGTGTCAAGAGGACTTTGAATGTGGATGCACCAATGATTGGGTAGTCTATTAATGCCTAGATAGGTAGATTAGGAAAAAGCATTAGGCCTGGTCTACATTACAGAACTAGGTTGATGCAAGGCAGCTTATCCTGACCTAACTATGTAAGCATCCAAACTAAAATTTTGCTCCCGTCGACATAAATGCCCTGCTGTGCCGACTTAACTCCACCTCGGTGAGAGTCAATGTCGACGTAATGAGGTCGACGCAGTGTCAGTGTAGGCACTGCGTTGCTTACATCGACTATTATGGCTTTCAAAAGCCGTCCCACAATGCCTCACAGTGACGGTACAATCAGTACAAGTGCTCCAGGTGAGGACATGCACCGCTGACACAAGGAGCATAGTGTGGACACGCAAAAGCAGTGTAATAACTGCGGCGGTTGTATGTCAACGTAATTTTGTAGTCTCAATGTGCCCTTAGATGCCCACAGATAAGGTCCTATCCACACTACCAGCTGGAACTGTGTAGTGGCTGAATCTCTTGTGCCATAATTGTATCTGCAATGTAAAAAGACCATTAGTCTTTTGAATTGTGCGTCTGTTATCTTGTCGACCACATTTTACTCCATGTGCCAGCATGTTGCTCTCTACTGCTTCTGTGTGCTGCAACTTCATAAGTAAGCTTCTGCGAGGAAGGCTTGGGGCGTCTGTGGATGGTGGCAGCAGCAGCAGCATTACATGTCCTCTTTTTCAGGGAGTCATGGAAGACCTGCTGCTTTGTCAGTTGTCATGGTCCTTTTTGTTTAATTAATCATTTTCTTTCACTGCTGGTTACACTAAGGGATCCAATGTCATTCTCTATCTTCCATAATGTAAAACGGGAATAAAAATCCAATTCTGAGTAAGCTGGTGTGGGCATTTTCTGATGCTCCCAGTCTCTGCTGGCCCAGGGATAGGAAATACTAATTGCCTCTGAACTCATGACTCCGCTATGTGAACTGGTAGAGCTGCCAGCCAGACTGGCGGGACAGCTCTGTGCCCTCTTTCACTGTGTGAAAACGTGCAATGTGTATTGCATTTTCCATTCCGCCCAGTGGCATCCCAATCGGACTAATCAGTGTTCTGTTTAGCACTTACCAGGGGTACAGCTCTGCACTCCTCTGGCATTCCGCATGAGCTGGTACAACCTAGAGGTTGCATTATTGTATGCATTTCACTGCACACCCATTGCAAAGGCTTTTCAGAATTAAGGTCCTTAAGGAGCATTTATTTAAAATTTCACAGAGCTGTCGTATAGTTTAAGGCCAGAAGGCCTTTAGATCATAGTCTGACCTTCTGGTATCAAAGATCATTAAATTCCACCCAGATATCCCTGTGTTCAGCTCAATAACTTCAGTTAAATTAAAGCATTTTAGCTCTCAGGTGACTAAGCTGTCATGAGCCACAGGCAGAAAAAAGGAGAGATCAAGGTGCCACCAATGCCCGAGGCCCCTGCAATGGCAGGGGTTTGCTCAGGTGAGACATTTCTTTAGCCGTTTCTTTCTTTGATCCTTTTCCCACACACTGCAATTGTTACCAATATTTATTTGTGCTGCAGTAGCATCTAGGAACCATAATGAGGGATCAGGTTCCCACTGTGCAAGGTGCTGTACACACATATAAAGAAAAGATGGTCCATGCCCCAAACAGTTTGCAATCCAAATGACCATGACCTCTCAGCTTCCTAGTCCCCGAATGTGGGGCAAAGACTCAACATCGGAGACAAAAGATCCTTCAGTTTAGCTTAATGTATTTTGGACTAGATCAAGGGCTTTCAAATTGCCTCATCCTGTGGACTATCTAGTAATGGAGAGACTTATGGATGATCATCTTTCCTAGAGACGGCGCAACACTCCAATGATAACCACAATGATTCCTTACATGAAAAAATAACGTTAAGAAAGAATGTATATATTTGTAGCTTCCTTTAATGCAGTGGTTGACAAACTTTTGTACTGGTGATTCCTTTCACAAAGCAAGCCTCTGAGTGTGATCCCCCCCTTATAAATTAAAAACACTTTCTTTATATTTAACACCATTATAAATGCTGGAAGCGAAGCGGGGTTTGCGGTGGAGGCTGGCAGCTCATGGCTCCCTATGTAATAACTTTGCGACCCCATGAGGGGTCCCAACCCCCTGTTGGAGAACCCTTGCTTTAATGCAGTATGAGGCTTGCACTAAAAGGAGCAGAAGCACCTGGAAAAAAGGGGGGCCCAATAACGCATGACATGCCAGCAGTCCACAGAGCATCATTTGAGAACCACTGGGCTAGATTCAACCTGACTGACATGGGGAGGTGGACATTGTCCCATCTAGGCCTGCTGAACTCCAAAGGGGGATTTAGGCTCTGGAGAAGGCATTTGGTGACAGTAGCGATTACCCCAGGGAAGGGTAGCTTTCCATCGGGAGCTGCTGAGGGGATGTCTCCCCGTTTTCTGCCTGTGCTCCCTCCCTGGCTAGCGTTGCCAATACTCTGGGCTGTGCTAGGCCCCTGCAGGCCCTCTAGTGAGGTTGTTGCTGCTTTGCCCCATTACAGCCTCATGTCTAGCTAATCTCCTTCCACCATGGGCCCTGCGACCCTGTTTGACATCAGAATAGGCGACTCGTGGGAGGACACAAAGGGGGGCACCAGCAAAAGGCAGGGCACATGACCCCCCACATTACCCCCAACGTGACTCCTCCCCGTCCCCAGCCTGGGGCCCCCGCGTTCTTCCTGTTCCCTCCCCATCTCATGTTACCTGGACGGGGGCTCTGTCCTCCAGCTGCGCTGGATACCGATTTCAGGCAAAAGGAGCAGAATGCCGGGCGACCCCATGCCAGCAGCTCCTCCGGCATAGCTGTACCATCCACAGCCCTGTCCTCCAGGCGGGGCAGAACAGACCCCAAGAAATGCAGCTGCGTGGAAGTGCTGGGGGCAGGGCTGGGGCGGTACCGGTACAGCCGCGTCGGAGGCGCTGCCAGCCTGGGGCGCTAGCTCCTGGGAGTGGCAGCCCCGTGTTCTGCTCCTTTGAACTGCTGCGGTTCCCTGCTGAATGTGCCTCCCCCAGGCGTCTGGGGAGGAGCATGTGGCCCTTGTTGCCCCTCCCAAGTGTTGCCTTTCCACAAGGATGCTCTGAAATCCTCCACATGTCTGGGGACATCCAAATTCTCTGAGAGCCTTCCTGCCCTGCGAGCAAAGGAAGACAGAAGGCAGAAGGTTCTAGAAGTGAACCCCTGGCTAGGTAAGTGGTGGAGGGTTTGGGTGTTGTGGAACATTGGGTCCACTTTCTATGGGGAGAGGGACTGTATAGTTTGGATGGCCTCCCACCTCAGCAGAAGGGGAACCAATCTGTTCAGGGACAGGCTGGCTAGAGTAGTCAAGTGGGCATTAAACTAATAACAAAAGGGGAGAATAAAAAGAGGGAGGATATGAGGCCTCATTGAGCATAGAATCAAGATGCTTGAAACAAAATTAATCAAGGAATCAAAGGACATGAAGACAAGAAATTCTTTAACTGCCTGTACACCAGTGCTTGGAGCCTGGGTAACAAACAAGAGGAATTGGAATTGCTCATTTATGAGCATAAATTCAAGCTAGTTGGTATTACTGAAATCTGGTGGGACGAGTTGCATAACTGGAATGTTAAAATCAATGGTTATAACCTATTTAGGAAGGATCGAACAGGCAAAAGGAGGGGGGAATGGCACTCTGTCTCAACAATGGCATTACCTGTTTCTCAGTCACTGATAACTCAATAGACAATGATCGGGAATGCTTGTGGATCAATGTCCATAAAGTGTAAAATGGGATATTAGTGGGTGTCTGCTACGGACCACTAAATCCCACTAGGAAAGAGGCTCCTTATGATGTAGTGGGATATCTGTAACGCACTGCCATGGGTAATTTATCATCACTTTTCATCATGTATTTTGAGGGGAGGGGATGCTATAGATCTATCCCAATACTTCTCTTTGGAGGGCCTATGGAGCTTAGCATTTTCCCCACGATACGTCTGGTTGTCAGGTGGAGGATCTCATTTGGGTTGGGACCCTCAGGACAAGGATGAGGCGGCACAAGCTCTAGTGGAGAGATGGGTGTGGTGCAGTGATTATGTCCTTGGTCTGTAAAGCATGCTACAACTTTCACTGCTTGGCTCAGAGAGAGAATCATCCAGGGTGAAATCCTGGTCCCCTTGAAGACTGTATAATATTAATATTATAGGCTGTATACCCTTAGATATAACAGTGCAGACAGATTGTTTGTCTCAAGGTTTGCCAGTTACCTTCGCCTCCTTGTGGAACAGATTTAACTTGGGAAGTGATCAGCAATCAGGATTTCACGTAACTTCAGGTTGTTTGCATTTCTGCTTGCCACGAAGTAATTTCCTATTGCTCTTTCAGTATAAAAATTGTACCCTTCTCTCAATATATTTATGTTACTTGTGCTCTCTTATTTGACTTGTGCATTTCAGCCTCACAAAGAAGGATGGGAATACAAGTTTAAAGCCGAACCCATTAGCAGGAGCAGGGCCCTAAATGAGAGAGAGTGATAAAATATATTGGGTTAGATTATAAAATCTGTTCATGAGTCTAAAATATATTTACAACAACTTAAACGATACCAATCACATAGTGGATTCCTGCATCTGGTCTCCTGAACAAGGATGTATTTTGATAGTGAATAGCCAGCATGGTAGCTTGACATACATTATTTGACAATGTCCTAATATTAGAAATGTCTGGTCAACTATTATAAATGTTATAGAGATATTATGGAATCAGAAACCACTGACTGCATCAAAATTATATTTGCCATCTGTTTTAATTAGGCTACAAAGTCTTTTAAATTGCCCTTGGTTGTGTACAGAGCTTGATCCTGAGAAGGTGGAAAATCGCCTCTATCCCAATTTTAAAAGCTTGATACTATAAGATGGCAGAAATAGCTTCATATGAGCATCTCATTTACTGCATTTATGGGGAAAAAAGAAGAATTCCTCTTATAAGGGAGGAATTTCTCTCTCATATAAAGGAAATCACATATTTGCAAACAAGAAGGATATGAGATAGGGAGACATCATGGGAAGGGGAATGGTGTGTGAGTAATTTTGTAGCATTGTTTTAAAACCAATAGACATAATATAAAATAATCAAAGCATATATTGTATTACTTGTGCTCTGATAAGTTGTTTGCTGTGCAGACAACATAACGATGAGCATGGTATAAATGCCTAGACAGTCACAGTAACAAATGGCTGCATTTCATGCATTCAGATGTATTCTGCAATATTAGCTAAAATGGACAGAAGCCTAGCCATCATCATATACCAACATCTAAAGTAATCTCAGTGTAGCACTAACAAAACAAATAGTAACTGTAAGGCATGAGTAGTTTGGTTTTGCATTTAGTACATCTTGATTTGATAGTAACCATTTTAAAGTCTGGAAGAATTATGGACTCACTAGCTGATTTTACAAGAAAGAGAAGCGCTTATCAGCAAAGGTTAATGTAGCTGTCAGTGCATGAGAACCCTATGGGTAGAAAGAGTCTCATCTGGCTGTTTTTTAAAGGGCAACAAGCATCACTGTAAAAAAAGATTTTTTTCCATTTCTAGAAGCCTTTCACATGGTCCAAGTGAGTTGTATGATACATCACTGGTTGCTATTTGTAGTTACATTTACTACATTGTCATGATTGTAAATGCTTTGTTTCTCCTTGATTGCACTTTTAAAATGTATAAACTGTTAGTGTCCAAACTGAATAACCCACATTTTACTTCAGTGTAAGAGAAATCTATCTATCTTTGGTACTTACCTGCCCCCTATTACCAGAGCATCTGAACACGTCATTATCTTTAATGTATTTATCCTCACAATGCC